GCCATAATATCTTCAGCTTGAGAACGACAGGTTTCTGGTACTGTAGCCTTTTTTACTAAAGTTGAAGAACTTGAAGGTAGATGAGCTTTGGCTAGGAATTTTTGCTGCTTTTCTATTGTTTTATATTTTGATCGTTGGAGAAAACTTCGAAGCATTGCTACTCCTAAATGAAGTCTTAAATCCCAATTTCTATATTGATTAAAAATAAAATAAAATAAAATAAAGTTTAGAAAAAAAAAAAAAAAACAAATAAAAACATTTAAGCGATTAATATATATACTTACGAGTCGGGGATTTCATTTCTAAAGTGTTTATATACAGTACTTATAAACATTGGCGTCAGTTCTAAAAAAAATATAAAGATAAAAATTCGAATTAAACGAACAAAGTAAATAACTTTTGAATTAAACTAGCCAAATTTATTATAAATATTTTTTTTACCTGCTAAATCCTTTGGATCTAATGCCATTTTCTTAACAAAAGAAAGATTATAATGTAAAAATAATCTAATGCAATAAATCCCTTTTTCTCGCTAAAAAAAAATTAAGGCCACAGTTTATATTATGTTTAAAAGAGCAGGTTGGAGGAAAAAAAAAAGAAGAAAAAAAAAGGAGATACGTTAAATAGCTTTTTAGAGCTTTTTTGTGATATGAGAACATTTATAATTTAAATTTTGTACGTATTAATCGAACTCCGAGGTATTACAACGTCACTCATGATACTCGTGTGTCTCAAACTTCGCGATTTATTAGTAAATTAAAAAAAAAAAAAAAACATATATATTTTTATACAATATACAATATATTTGTAACTCTGGCCGTTGGGTATAAATAATTTTCCGTAGCTGATTTTACCGACCAACCAATAATTCTTTTGCATATCACATATAAAGGAAGATAAAATGCTAAATATTGTGATGTTACATGTGACTTATAGTATTATCTTTTTGTAAAACTTGAACAAGTCAAACAACATAGCCTTGTGGCTTGTTATTTATTAGACAAGTTACTATCCCGGCATTTTCTTATTTTTTTCACACAATATGAATAAAAAAAAATTTGATGAATGAAGATAATCAAGTTTATATAGTAATTCAATTTAATGTTTAAATTATGAATAATAGTATTTTAGGAAAATAATATTGAACGCGAAATTTTACTTACTAGTTAACTTGTAAGTATCTATATTTTTTTTTCTCAATCTTGATTCATAATAATTTTTTTTTTTAATTCAGTAATATTAAGGCTTAGTATTTTTTTTTTTTTTTTTTGTTCAGGCTTTGAGACAAATTTATTCATTGGTTAAACTTGATTAAAAGTTGTTAGCATTTATCCAAGCCTTGATAACAACAAAGTTATGTATTACATATTATTTTTTTATGGCACAATAAAACCAAGGCTACCTACAAATTTATCTTTACAAAATAAGATGATAACCAGTTAATAGTTTTATTAACAAATTGGGTGTCTTTGAGTTTATAATTAAAGTTTCATGTTTTGATTAAATCTTTATTACTATCGCTATCGTTATTAAATAACTCGTTTATCGTTATTATTAACCGTTAATAATTTAACCACATAAGTATAATATTATACATACATATCAGATATGTACTGTACTTACATATGTACCAGAATATGTTTATACATTTTAATTTGGACCATTTAACGTTAAATAAACTTTTTTTTTTTGTTCTCATTTAAATAGTGTTTCATGATAGTGTTTCAGATATTTGACAATAAAATCACGTGAAAAACTTAAGTAAACTTGACACTTGTACGTAAAAAAAAAAAAAAAAAAAAAAAAAACATATATCAAAATTTATGTATAAGTTTATTGGTTTCAGTACAATATAAATGTTTCACAGCTCGTTTGTTATTTTAACGTTAAATACCAACTAATCAATTAAGAAAATATTTTACCTAATTGTTGCTAAATAATACGTATCATATATGTATGTACTGTATGTACTGTACGTACGTACTGTACGTACGTAACAACGGGTATCCCATGAATAATAATAATTGGGTCACGACACATTTATTTGTAAATCAGAAAACTTTTTCATATTGTTCAAACTTTTATATAGTCTGTGAATATCCTTTTACGTATAATTCACCGAGAAAAATGGTATTAAATAACAATTATGTTAAAAATCTTTGAATGAAATATATACTAAGTTTTTTGTTCCTGGTTTTTCTATTAACGTTCTTCTTTTTATTAAAAAAAAAAAAAAAAAGAAAGAAATTCGTCAAGATAAAACAACTTAATCATTCTACATACTTACGTATATTGTTTTAAAAAAGGTTAATCTATTACGAACACAAATGCATGCGTTTGAATAGACTTTAAAAATTACTATTAACTCAATTATAGTGCACAAAATAACGTAGTCACATAAAACTAATAATAACTTTTAATAAAATGTAGTGAATCGTGATTTTGCAGTTAAATGTAACCTAATCACCAAAGTGTTCATGAATAACTAAATTTTATTACACGTAGTCTCAAAATTTAATAGACCAATCAAAAATAAATTACTAATAGTACGCATTATGCTTGCATCTTTTTAAAAAAAAAATTATCAAATGGAATTTGAACGCAGCAGCAAAAAAAAAAAAAAAAAGAAGCATATGTACGCACACACGTACAAACGTACGTACGTACTGTACGTTACGTACGTACGAATGTACAGTACGTACGTACATATATACAGTACGTAACTTTGATGATCAAAGTGTCTTTGGACAATAAGCATTATATATTTTAATACGTATACGTACCAATATGAATGAGGCGTCAAGTTTGCGCCTCTTTTTTGATAATTGTGA